AAACTGTCTTTCTGGCAAATAGTGCAGATCATAAATGCGACCTGTTCCCAGCGTTTTTTTTTTACTGGAACATTTCCCTTTCTCCTTTAGAACCAGCAGATAGCAGTAAAGCTCCACTCAGCGGGAGCACAATAGTCCTGCATATCTGAGCATACAGTATATGCTGCATGTGCAGAAGGACGTCTGTAGTGCTGAAGCAAATCCCACAAACACTGATCTCCATTATACATTATGTGTTCACACGCAGCAATTCATTCAGTGAGGACTTTAACCAGCTGACGACAGAATCTGTTCGTCATGTTTGAACTCCTCCACACTGACGAACAGCCACGAAACAAACCCACGTCAAGAATAGTTCACGTACCTGTACATTGTGGGGGTTGACCATTCCACCGACCTCCCTCGCAAACAATCGCAGCACTACCTTTTAATTTGAAACCATGGGAACAGGAGTACAAAGCCACCAGTTTGCCAGATGTGGTGGACAAAACAAAATCCCCGTTCTTTATCGTTCCTGGGTAGGCACACTGTTGCAAGTCTGGAATTGAGCGATAAAAGTTTTTTTTGCTTTAATGTATAGTAGAACAATAAAATTCAAAGGAATGATTTTTCAAATAATAGGATAAGGATTAGCCTAACAGTCTCTCAAGCCCACCTAGTCTCTTTTCTCGCCAAGCCTCCAAATTCATTGATGGTATATGATCACAAGAGACATAATCACAGGGGTATGTCCCACGTTGGAAAGAATCGGGGAGGACTTCCCCGACGTCGCTGTTGTCACAGATGAGACGAGACAGAGAAAATTGTAAAAGCTCATTCTTCTGTTGCTGGGTGAATATACCCTCAGCACTCCACCAAAACCTGAAAAATAAAAACAGTTCATCTCAGTATGACTTTGCTGAAGCCATTGTTCCATTTCATTACTTAAAGTGAGCACATTGCAACGTACCTATCACCATCACGGATCATTTTCATCTGTTTTCCAATAAGGCAAGCAAAGAGAGGACCAGTCCTTGCGCCGGGCAGCAAGCTTTCAAGAAGTCCTCCGAGCCAAACATCGATATTGTCCACATGTTTGTATATGTTTAGTACCTTCTCAGCAACCCTGTAGTCTCCCACAACCTCTGCGAGATCTTTCAATGTCCTAACGCGCCTCAATCCGCAGAATTTCCTCCAGTCGTTGTATCCTGAAAATTAATTTCAGTGTTATTTATTAATAGCGAGCATATTCAGCCACATGTTGCTTTCTTGTCAGTTAAGAAGAGGTTTTGTGCGATGAAACTAGAGTTGTTAGTTCAGCCAGAAACAGCTATCTAGTGGTCCAAACAAAATCCCCCCCACCAGCACCTAGAGAGCACATTAATGTTGTATTATGTTTCTGGCAAGTTGTGGTTTCAAGGACTATTTCTACTCTTCACATTGTGACTTCTTGAAGTCTTGCTGTCACTGTGAGGTTTCTTATATCTGAATCCTACTTGAGACTTGTGGAGGTGTCGGTACGCAGGTTTTACAACCTCCAGACAGCTAGACAGCCCAGGTTAGCTGTTGCTCTAGTTTCTACACTTTATACACATTGTACCCTGTCAGACTTGTTTTTAATTGAAGCAGAGCTGGGAACATCATTGTTCTTACTTTTTGCATTCTCCTTACTTTAAAAAAAAAAACCTGGCACCTACATCAATGCAACTTGACCGCAGACAGTCAAATTGGAGATTCAGGTGAGTTACACTACTAATGTAGCCTCGAGCCGCCAGCCTCAAACAGAGATGAAGAGCAAGCTACAGAAGCCTGGACAGCTTCTCTGTAACTCCACACATCCAGATCTTTTACATTTTAAAACTGGTAATCTTCAGCCACATCAGATTTCACACAGGTTCCCCAGGAGCTGTACAAAGCTTTTTATTGCATAAAAAGTCGTAGCCTTCTTCCCCAGACCTGTTAATAGCCTTTGATGTGTAAAGACAGTTGAATTCCCTTTAAACTAGGCAAGGTAAGTTTATTATTACCGCGCCATTCAGACATAATGCAATCCAAAGTGCTTCACAGAGGAATAGAAATGCATTAAAAAGAAGAGCTGAAAAAGCCATTAACACTACATTTAACAGACAAAAACAGAAACGGAATCAAAACCAAGCAAATAAATTGCTAAAGTATTAAAAGAACAGTTTTGATGAGCTGACAGTTTTAGAGGACCTCAGTTATTCAGGAAGCTTGTTCCACATGTTGGGGGCATAAAAGCTGCTTCACCTTGGTCAGCTGTAATTCCTGGAAAACTAAATAATCCTGTCCCAGATGACCAGAGGGGTCTGGATGCTTCATAACATACAAGTAAATCAGAGATGAAGTCAGGCCATCTAGTGCTTTACAGAAAAGTAGTAGGGCTTTAAAAAGTATCCAAGGAACTAGTGCAGCAATCTAAGGACTGGTGTAATGAGCTCTACTCTCTGGGTGTTACTGAGGACTTCTGGATGAGCTGCGGCTGTCTGGTGGACTTTTTACCCAGACCAAGACATTAACATGTTTTTCTATATCTTTTTCAGACAGAACTTCTTTAATCTTACTATATTTTATGGAGGTAGTAAACTGAATTTGTAACTGCCTTTATATGGATGTTACAAATTTAGATCAGAGTCAATAACTCCACCAATGTCTCTGGCTTGAGTTGTAGATTTTAATGCCCCTGATTCAAGGTGACCGCTGACGTCTAGTCTTTCCCCTTTAGGGACAAAATTTAGTTGTTGAGGTTTTTTTGTATTCATTTGAAGAAGAAAAAAACCTAGTACATACACTCATTAATTTGTTTAGTGCTCCCACTCAGCAATTATGAGGGCTCACATCATGACATTGTTATGCAGAGTTGTGTGTCATCTGAATCTGCAAGACGTTATGATGTTCCACTGTTTGAATGTGAGGCCGCATGTAGATGTTGAATAGAAGAGGTCCCAGGATGGATCTTTGGGGAACTCCACATGATTTTTGTTTGTTTAGATTCATAATTTCTAAATGACCCAAAGGAGTCTCTCGCTCGATTTGAACCAATTTAGCGCAATGACAGAAAGCTAGAGTGACAGATAAATGTAATTCAAAGTGCAGTCTGTTGCAGCTGAGATCCAGGAGAAGGTTTTGCACCAAGAAAGCCTCATATTGTTGAAAAACGTCCTTTTCAGTGACTTTCCCTAGAAGAGGTAGATTTGATATAAGAATATAGTAACTTATTATGAGGCATCCAGATTGATTGTTTAAGACAGAAAAGGCCTAACAGAGGAGAACTAGAACCAGAACGACTGAATATCTGTAGTACAACTGATGCTATCAAGGTTGCCAGTAGTAGGCCTATGGAGTTGAACAATTTCTGTCAAGGCATCAAACGCTAAGGAGTAAAATTTGTAAAGTTAACTGAATAGATTTATGTTTTAAAAAAAAGTGACAAAATGGTGAAGTCATTGGCAGACATCTTTGCATGTTTTTTTTCCTGTTTTTACCCATATTTCTGTTTAATTAGTATTTAGCACTCTCCTTAAATATCACACACTGCTGACTTATGACAATGTTGGACAATGCTACAGTGCAACACACGGTATGCACTACGTTGTTTGCTCCACACCAAGACGCCACTTCTTTTGGAGAAGGCCCTCCAGCACAGTGCTCAAGTTAAACCGGCAACTGAAGGAGACCCCTGAAATGCAAGTGACCCTCGAGATTGCTGTGCTCTGCAAACCCACCAAGACATGACCGTCTACTAGTTGGGCAGAGCTGCATACCCCCTCCATTCACTAAGGACACTGCATTGCTACCTCCAGTAAGGCTGAAGGAACAAAATGTGTTAATTGTTGTGGGCAACACCTGGTGTGAAAAAGTACCTCCTCGACACAAGAATTGTTAGATAGACGTGGAGCTGCTGGTATGTTGACCCTTCTACCTGCAAGGGGAACTCAGTGTTGTGTTTTTTACTGAAGTTTACATTCCACCATGCGCTAACTCTCCACCAGAACTATTTACCTCTTGGTGTCATCAGTGCTCAGAAAACAACAAAGCCTGGTGATGTTTTTAGCATCATGGAGGATTTTAACCATCTTCAGGCTGAGCTACCAAAATATTACCAGCACATGCATATTACCACTAAACACAGGGATCACGCATCCAGCAATATCTGTGATGCCTATGTGCTACAGAACTGGCTGATAGTTTGATTTCCATCTTTGATCAGTCCCTTGTACAAGCCATAGGCCCAACCTGCTGAACAATAATACACCTAAGTCACTGGACACCCTACAGTTTGCAAACCCCCCCTTAACAGATCGACTATCTTGGAAGTTTTGCATGTTGCCCTCTTCCACCTAAAAAACAAACTTCCAAACTGTTCACCCTTGGCCTGGACCCCACCAGTCTGTAAATAGCTGTTAGATTTTTTTCCATTGGAAGACTGCAGTTTGTGAAAATTGGAAATCTAACCTCAAATAAAGTGATAATGAACATTGGCATTCTACAAGGATGTGTCCTCAATCCCATGCTCCACAGTCCCCCAAACAGGAGCAACACTATCCTAAAATTTACTGACGACACCAGAGCCTGATCACTGGGGACGACAAAGCCGCATACAGGGTTGAAGTGGCAAATCTAGTAACATGGTATGACAACAAAATCCTCCCTTTCAACACAGGACAGAGATGATACCACTAACAATCTGCAAGTTTGAGGTGGAATAGGCTTTAAATATATGGGCATCTAAACATGTAACATCACACAGCTGGTCAAAAAAGCTCAACAGTGGCTGCACTTTCCAAGGAGACTGGGAATATCCGACATGTCACAGAGGATCAGCCGATCAGAAGATCCGATACGCTCACCCTGCCCCCCCCCACCCTAAACTACCTCACTATATTGGAAACTTCACTCTGCTGCCCTCTCTTCCATGCACACACCCACATACATACACATGCACATTCATACAACACATTGCACAGTCAGACATTTAATTCCCCCCGAGACACTGGGCTGAACTGGATTGCACACATACCAGTCAATAAGCTAAACAGGACAATGGCTGTTGTGCTTATCACAACTGCTCCATCATTCTGCATTATCGTTTCTAACACCCGCCGTCTGCACGTAGAATTTTTGAACTGATATGTGGATGTGATTTTATTTATTCCTTTTATTTTTATACATTCGCACACCTCATGTTTCCTCCTGATAAACAACATTCGCCAAAGAAAGTCTTTCATTGTGCAGGCAAATTTGTTTTTAGCTGTGTGCTTTGACTTGACTTGTGGAGGCACAGATGACATAGCCATTTTTGAGACAGAGTTACAGACTGTTTGCGTTATCCTCTGAATTTTATCTGTGAAAAAAAAAAAGATGCAAAGCCATTGCATGACGAGGCTGATAACAGTTCAGGAGGGACTGATGCTTTGGGGTTTGTCAATCTGTCAGCGACGGTGTATAAGGTGTGTGCTTCTCAAAGAAAAAGGACTGCCTTGTCCTTTGTAGTTACAAGTTATAGATGTTATAATGAACGTAGAGTTTATCGTCACTTGCGCTCTGTTTGTTTCTTTTTTGAGCTTTTCCCAGTGCTCCTTGGTCTTTTTTTTTCTTCCCAGGGATTACTTTGATCGTCATGGGAGCGATGGCATTTAAAACAGTCATAATTTTAGGAGCTGCACTATTAAAACATAGCATTAAGGGAAGCCTTGATAGTACAATCATCATTAATTAATGGTAACTTGTCAGCCAGAGATCTGATATTTAATGAAGCTTAGTTTAGTGTACTAAAGGCAGCGTCTGACACAGTCTGTGCACACAGTCAGATTACATAAAGTGGCTGTGTACTTTGAGTACGCTTTGGTTATCCTGATGCTCGTCAAAACAGGGACAGCAGATACTGAAGCTTCGCTGTTTGGGGCAGGCTAACGGCAATGGGTCCATACTCAGTAAGCATAGAAGGACATGAGCAGGAAGTGGAGGGATGATAGAGAGACCACACTATCCTGTATGTCAACATGTCCTGTTGTGTTGACCACATATTTACATGTCATCAATCCTTCTTATCTCCATCCTTAGCTTGTACTGTTTAAGATATCTCCAAGAGGCCAGGAGGGAGGGGGATGTGGGAATGATCCATGGTGTCCTGTGTAGAAAACAGTGACCTTTTTCTTTAAGATTTTGCCAGCTCCTCCCAAATACCAATAGTGTGGTGCCATAGTTTAGTTGATAGTAAGAATATGGGCCTCTACTCTGTTTAAATAAAGCCCATCCAATCCTTGATGGTTCTCTTGGTCCCACAAGAGATTGAAATGGTCAGTGATGCTCAGTTTTGAACCACATATGGAAGAAAACCAGGTATTTACGCCAGTGAGGGGGTGAAATGTTTATTTCTTCTCCCTAAGGTGAGGGTTAGACCTGACATAATCAACTGGACTGAGCTGAGGTTTGTTGTAGAATATCCATTTTGTGTACTACGGGATGAGTGCCAGTTGTTTAGTGTAGTGTTTAGACTGAGTACCAACCTCCAAAACTGGCATTTCCTAAATGGTCACTTGAGGCTGGCTCCAAAAGCAAGTCAGTCCCCATAGACCTCCATGTTAAAATGCCTTTACTTTACAGCAGAAATAAACAGGTTTTTAGTATCTATAGCTAATTTCCCTGTTCAATTTTATGTAACTTACCCATTTAAATTCTAATAAAGCATAAAATGATGCTATAATTAAGGGTGTAGCCAATGAGTGGAAGGTGGGGGCCATCATGGGACAGTCCATGGTCCACCTCAGCTCCACCTTTGCTCCACCTCGTAGCAGCTTTTGGTCTATTGTTTACCTTCAGGTGCCACCAAGAGATGTTTCTTGCAGCCAGTTGTCAAACTATAACTTGGCTATCAAGCAAGCTCGCTTCATTTATCCTTTATCTATCACTATTCCTATTAATATGTATGTGATTAATGAGAATAAAAAAACAGGCGAAAAGCAGCTCCAGCTATCTGCTTTCAGTCCAGTGGAGGATTTGGTTGGTTCTTCTGTTTTGTTTTACAGCAGTTGGCATCAAGAATGTTTCTTTGTTCCTGGTTTTTGAGCTAAAGTGAGTGAAGTTCATGATAGTACACCGCCATGTTTCGATAATGCTACCAAGAATGGCGCATATATGCTATATATGGCATCCTTATTCAAGTGAATTAAGGATGAATCACCTTCATGTACGAATCAAACATCAATAATAGCAGGTTTTTACTGATGATCCATGATGACGAACAACGATGGAGCCAGAAATGCATGACAAGAATAGCGTACAGAGACCTCCCCAAAATTGTACTAATCATGTTTTCAGGGGTGTTCATGTCTCATTAAGAGGAGATAAGCTCCCAGTGGCTTCCCTGTACCCTGCTGGTGGGCTCAGCTGTATCACAGGCTGTGTCTGCACAGGTCTCAGTGTTTGGTTCTGAACTAAATGAACGCTCGCTGAGTCATTTGGATCATTGACAGGTAGCTCATCTTGAACAGTATACCTGTTCTCTGGCCAAACTTCTGGTGAGACATCAGTGGTACTGTGCTTGTTGCTTCTGACTCATCTTTTATCCTGCACAATGTCTTTCCAGAGTTTAGAGTTTGATACTGCAGAAACAGAACAGGTCTTTTGTCTCCAGTTTAGCCAGTAGCACATGTCCACATTTTTCTTCATCTCTCTTCACCGAGTTCAACTTCCTTTCTAAAGCTCAAAAATTGCCCGGAAGGGGTGTTGTTCCTCCGCCTGCAGTTTCTATTTATAAAAAAAAAAAAAAAAGCTAAGCTAACTGACTGTTGTTGAGTGTAATTCTTGACACAAAAAGCACATTTCTAAAATTTTGAACTAAATACACATTAACAACTTTTCAGCGTCAGCAAAATGGTTCTTGTGATTCTGCATCAGTACACACGTCTGACTATCTGAGCTGAGATAATACATAGTTTTATGAATTGTATGCCCTCCAGCCTGAAAAAAAAAAAAAATCATGCCAAACCCTCGAGCTGTTCGCTACAAAAAGAATTGCTACGCCAGAAGTGCTCTGGGACACTCAGGGGATTGACTGGTTCAGTTTGGATAAGCAACAACTATACAGGCACTTTAATGTGCCCATCAGGCTTTATGACTCACCTGTCAGCCACAAAGAAACAAGATCAAGACAAGGATAGAAACAACATGTTCCAGGAGAACAAAGTTAAGATGTAATTAAACAAAAGTATGTGTGTGTATTTATCCAGATTGAGCCCTGAAGCACTTTGGGTATAGCAGTTTCTTTTTTTTTTTTCCTGGTACATGTGCTTGTTGTTTTGTCATTATGTGTCCCCAAAGTTTTGTGCTAGAAAACTATGCAGTGTGAGTACAACGGTGTTGAACTTCTTGAGGTCATTAGGAATCAGCAAGCTGCAGAAACTGCTAATAGGACTCGATGCCATCTACTAAATTTAATGAGTATCTACAAACAATGTGGATGTTTGACAGACAGACAGTTTGTTATTAGAAACACAACGAGCTTAAGTGTGCTGGCAAAGCAGAAAGAACGCATTGATTGGTGATTGTCTGTCTAAGTTGACGAGGCTTAACTCAGTCGCTTTGAAGAGCACTGACTCCCAGCCCGGTTCTTACCTGGGAGGCCGTGATCTCGTCCTCTCTGCATGTTCATTGAAGCCAGGTCCATGCGCTCGACTGAATTCATGAGGATCAGCCTCTCTGTTACCTCCTCTGCCACCAGCATTTTTGAGCTAGCAACTGATGCTGCACTTCCAATCATACCTCTCAGGATTGGTTCAATCCCACCTAGACACAAACACAGCATTGGCCATTTTTCCATTATGAAATATGCATTTTATTTTATGTATTTCAGTGGGACGCTGTTAAGACTGCAGCTTTGCTTTTTTTTTTTCTCTCTCTGGAAAACGAAAAGATAACAGAATGTGATGTTGCAAAACTGCAGACTGCTCATTCATTTTTACCAATCCAGCCTATATATAATGCAGGGCTTAACCAAAATGAAAAGAAAAACAACATATGGTCGGTGAGTCGTGTTTTCTCTGGATGGATTGCTCTCTTTGTTGCTGCTCAAAAAACAGGTTTGTGTATCACTCCTGGGCTTGGATTTGCTGCTTCCCCTGGGCTCGCTGGTGTCCAAACAATTTCATTTGAGCAAATAGGATGAATAGACTGTTGGGGATGAATGCACTATTTATCATAACAATACATCGTTTTATAAAAGTAATGCTCCTGGTGCTCGGTGGTCTGACTGCTGAACACTGTATTACTGCAGTGAGGCAGGAACTACGGCCACTGAAGGTCAGCAAAACATCTGGTGTGACGTTAAGGTTGCATAATCTATACTTGAATGTAAACTAGACAATGTCAGGGAAAAAAAACAGTGTCTTATTCACACAGATAGGAATAGATAGGAATTACAGAGGAGGAGGGATCATTGTGCATAGGGCTGGCACCTCTAACTTTCTCCATCATCTGTATCTGAAGTTATCTACAGTTGAGCAGACAAATTGTACTTTTTTTGGATGTGATTTGAACTGTCCATGTGTGGCTAGAGAGCTTCCTATCAGGCCAGTAACTGATAACTGTGCCATTAGGGATACTTATTGCAGTAATACATGATGTGAAATGGTAAAGTGGGGGCTGAGCTGTGAGGCTGAGAAGACTAGACTTTGTTTTAACCTCGTCATGAGGTTAGTGTGGGATCCATGGAACTATCCACCCAGATTACATTCCTTAGCAGAAATACTGCTGGAGGAGCCTCAGTGAAGCAACATGAGGCTGGATGTGTGAATGAAGCAGTTGTAGTTGTTTTTGGGTGACACATAGACAGACTCTGACTTAGTGGCAGTAATATAAGATCTGAGTTAGATGATCAGAGACAAGTTAACGACAACCAAAAGTCTGGATGGTGATACAGAGACACTTAGAATGAAAGGAGGAAACAACTCCAACTTATCTAAGCCCTTCAGATACAGGCCTCTGGATCTGTACAATCTGAGAATGTTCTCTGTTATTTATATTGACACCATGTTGTCATCATGTTCATGTCCTGTGAACTGTGACATAAAGATCTGTTGTGCTCTCAAAGGCTAATGTGATCTTGTTTGCTTAATGTGAACTTGACAAATTGGATGCTGTCGCTACCATTCAGTCTGTCTCAACATAATGCTGAGCATCAGGTTTTAGTAAATGAAAGGAGCACATTGATTTGATTGATGATTTTTGGTTTCAAATTTTGTTCTTGGAGTGTAGAATTTCCTCGGTAGTGGTGGCAACTAACACATTGTTGGTACTGTGGAGATATTTGTCACCTGAATGCGCAGCTCCCATCAACAATAGTGCATTTCAGTCCAGTCCTCAACTTTTTCACACTAAACAGGCACAGTTAGCTACTAGCTGCTTAACACAGTGGAGCATTTAGCTGGAAACAGGCAAAAATTCTTCTAATGAGTTGGTAAAGACCAGTAGCTAGGCATGAATATTAAACTTAACTTCCCAAGTGGCCAGAAATATATTCAAAATCAATGATAACGTTGCTGATAATTGGATCTGTAAATTAGCAAATGTTGTTTGCAACATCATCTTGATTATTTTAAGGTCAGTGTTCAAAAGTTGTTTCTACAGCACAAGGCTAAAAAAAAAATCTGTTTTGCAGCTTTCAGTAGTTTATGAGTAAGAAGTTTACTACACTCTCATTATGAGGCCAGTTACGGACATCTTCAGGAGCAATTCACCCCATCTGTATTGTTCTTTTTTTGTATTATTTTGTGATTTTGAGCTTGTTGGTGTAACAGTGAGTTACATGGCTGAATTAGAATATATGCTCCTTTGCTGGGTTTCCTGAGATGTTAATACGACCCCAACAACACTGAGAATAAGAGCAAGGTTGAAAAACATCAGAATTTCCCATAAATTTGTCAACTACAAGTAAGCCATTAACAGTGCATCTTCTGAATATGACAGATATTAAGGGCTACATAAGTAAGTAATAAGTAATAAATAAGTAATGTCATGACGATGAATGGAAAAGGTCTCTGCAGCCTGTAAGACAGATTATTACACCTCCTGTAATGAGTCTCCTGTGGCTCGGTGCACACCGTACAGGTCCTGTGCGAGGTGTGACATATAGGTGCAGGTTTTCATAGTCAGTAGATATAAAAAAAAAATGTCATCTAGTGAATCTCTGAAATTGCAAGAAACCAATTCTTACACTAAGACAGACTTTGTTGCTGTAGCTGACCTAAATAGAGTATTTCCCCCTTTTCCTCTTTATATGCTGTGTTTAATGTGCGTGCAGGATATGTTATTATTTCCAACAGGCAGCTTCATAGGAGTGCACTGACCTTCGTTGACTATTCTCCACGGACTGAAGAAAGTAGCGTGCATTCTCAAGTGGCAGAAGCGCTCGTGCTCCTGGAAGCTCTCGTTCAGTCTCGGGAGGATCGGGGAGACGGTACCGTGGCCGAACCTGAACGCAGCTGTGGCAAACACATTGGCGGCGGAGGGGTTCACAGTCGGATCGTATCCCCTGTAGGGTCCGATGAATTCTTGGAATGACTCCGAGCCAATAATCTTTGGGAGATAATCTCTCATTGTTATGATCTGGGAGTTAAAAAAAAAAAAAAGAGAGCGAGAGAAGGAGGACATCACAAAGAAGGAAAGAGTCTCTGTTAGGTAGTGATGTAACACATTTTGTCTGCATGATTCCAGAATATCTAACACGTCCTCGAAGGATGTTATTATACCGTGAACATGTCTGTATACAGCCAAGAGGAATCCCTGTAGGATTCCCAGAGAGATGACTATTTTTGTAACATCCCATCGCTTGGACATATGATTGCACATGTGTTCCCTCATGGATCACCGCAGCGAATTTCATCTGACCTCATCACTATTTATAAAGGACTCAGCTCAGCACCTGAATCTTAACACACGTCACACAAATGCACACGCGCACACACACACGGATGCAAACACACGCATTAAGTGGGGTCACATTTGGTGTCACGTAACATGAAATGCTTCGTAGATCGGATGAGACGAAACGTAACAACAGCTGAGTCCAGTGTGAAGACAACGGGTTCAAGAGGAAGCTGTTCAGGCAGGAATGATGGCAAAGGTGGAGAACTGTACTTCAGTATGTAATCTGACTAAGACGAGTTAAGGAGGCTAGCGCCGTTCAGGTTTCGTGTGGCCCAAACAAGCTTCACCAGTCGGATGGGGCAGCCTGGGAGGTGAAACTCAGGGCAAAAAAACACAGGAAGAAGCCTACAGAAATCACTAAATGCGTTTCAGATGGGTGTAGCAACATCTTAACAGCTGAGTTTAGTTGGTAAGTGGATAAACGATAATCAGGGAGGTCTTATTTTGACAAACAAAAATGTTTTTTTTGCTAACAATTGTTGCATTGCATGTAGATTAAACCGCCTTTTGCCTGCGACCCCCGACGAAAACACCACGTTAGCTGGTTAGCTGCTGTTTGCAGATTCTGCCTTTAAACTTCTCAGGTGATTTATTTTAGCCCAGGGAGGGTCAAAAATGTTCAAAAAATTTGTGCAGCAGAACGAGTTTTATCTTCCTTCCTACCCAAATAATGTCAGTACCCTTCAGTTATATCTTCTGACACTTTGAAGGAGGGGCAGAACCTGGAGGCTGGGAAACACTGGATTAGGCTGCATGACTATGTATGAAGTACACCGCATCCAGCCACAATAGAATGTGATGGTGGAAGCATATTTTTGATGATATGCTTGTATGTAAGTCAGACCTTTACTTGTTATGCAGTGTTTTTAGACCGCTCTAAGTAAAAGATTGCATCCGTGTATTATTTATGTGCATGATGCATCCATACACCACACTGCAATTTGTACAAATCCACTAAAGGCTACATCTCATTGACCCTTTTTCCATTTTATGAAGCATAGCACGTGTTTTTAGAATGACTTCCACCTTTTGTCTGGTTTCTATTCATTTTAGCTACAATACACAAACTACCTTGAGACTTGCGGTTTACTGCTCAGCCTATAATGTGACCCAGTTGCATCATAAGAAGTGTACAGTTTGTGGAAGCGTGGCACAAACTGTACTAAAAGTCAGGCGATTACAGTTTTTTCTGCCTTAATTTGTCTGTTTGCAGAAGCCCCCACAACTTCCCAACAGTGCTATAGTGAATTCTAGAGTGTCCTTTTCATAAGGGGAAAGGGCAAACTGGCATTATTATTTTTATTTTTGCTTATTGTTTTCCACTGAATGCAACTTTCTGGCAGCTATAGCTCACAAGCACAGCGCTGCTCTGAGACTGCTCTCTTAGTCAATGGACTGAAACACCCTAAACGAAGCAGGTCAGGGTTTATAAACTGTTGAAGCTTTTCACAATAATTCCCCAGCAATGTCCTGACCACTTTAAATCTAAATAGAACATATCGATATTGTCTCTGTGCATTTCAGACTGGATACGCAACGGCTTTCACAACTGCGCACTGTGATTGAAACGCACGTCAGAATGGAACCAGATGTTGTTCGCTGATCATTTTTATTTCCTGTTTCCTGCAAATAATAGGCTTTCAGTCTGTATTGAAATGGCTTCTGACCTTTCCGTTTGTTTGTTCTGCAGGCCGTATACAGTGATTTTTTTCAAGTGGCTGCCTACGGACAGTCAGCTGGAAAGAAAGTATGAATAGTTTCATCTGCATTCTCCCTCGGCTGCTCCCACTGATTCAGCAGCAGGTTCACATTACTGCTTATACATGACAAATATGTAATGATTCAAATAATAATGCAAAGCTTTTGTCTGACGCATAAATGCACCCAGAAGGCTTTTCAGTAAGATGTTTCATATGGTAACCTAGCTATGACTTCTGTCCCTACAAAAAACCATATTCCAACATCATATAGCTGGAGGGATGTGTTTAAACACAGCTACTGTCTCTTTGTTAATGCTCTATGTGACCTGGTATGGACGAGGTAATGTCTGGACAAGGTCAAGGGGTATTTCAGCATCATCTCAGAGCCACATCCAAACCTAAAAGCATTTTCAATGGATTTTTATCCAAAACGTACCCTGCATTGCAAATGTACTCGATGTAACAAGATGGAAAGGCAACAACGCATGTTCTTCGATAAGATATTAAAGAGATATTTTAGTCTGTCCTTTCATTTATGCTAGCTATCTCCAGTTCCTGACATATCTCTGATCGAGTGCCTGAATATTTGAAAAAAGCCACCTCTTGATTCATCCATTTTGAATAACTTCTACCTAATAACTAAAACTTATGTCTTGGAAAAAATAGGATCTCATTGACTTCATAAAAAGCAATATGCTCTTCGTAAATTTCTGTCTGGTTTCAGAGTGTGTCAGAGCACTTCCTAACTTTCTCAATGAAATTCTTTTCACAGCTGCCAGTGGCCAAATGTCTGTTTGATTTCTTTTCGATTTTACTGGGATTTTTTGATACAATTTACAGCATTACTTTAACTCTTTCTACCATGTAGGACCCAGTTCCAGGGCCAGGCTGTGTCTGTTATTAACACGTAACCTATAGCTGTTTGTAGGTTATGGAGGGCAACATTTTCAATAAATAGGCAGCCTGGTGTTAGTATGGTTAAAATGTATGTACAGTACTGTTACTGTAAACTAGCTGTTCTCTTATCCATCGAGCCAAGGATTATTCATTTTGGTCTTACAGTTGTGAATCTGTTACTGACTGAGTTTGGATATATATTGTTTCAATTAAATTATTGGTAAATAACTAAATAAAATAGCCTATGGCTTAAAAGGTTTACTGATCACTTTAAGAAGTAGGTAAGTATTTCCTGTACAGTTTTAATCCTGTCTTTCTAGGAGAATCTTCTATATGGCCACAGGAGATTATAAATCCTCGGTTCCGTAGGTTATACGTGGAGTACCTCAGGGTTCAATCCTCGGCCCATTTTTATTCTAAATTTAAAAGCTGCTGTAGCTTTGGTTGATAACTTTTATGCAGACAACTTCTCTTTTGATTCAGCAACACAACAGTCTTGCCAATTGGCAGCCATCTTGGTAACCAAGCCGTCATTTTGGTCTGACAAGACTAGTTCTCTGTTTAAATAAATGGGATGAGAGTGGCAACTGCAATTTCAAATGTGACTGCGACATAGGGTCTCCATACATGTAATCGCCAGTAAAATCTGACAAAAACAGCTTGAAAAGTTTGGTGACTTTGTCCGAATAGATTTAGAAAGCATGTTTCTCTTTTTTTTTTTTTAGTAACTTCTACTATGTTTGCACAAAAATTAATGACAATGTCGTTGCATTAGCATGATTGGCTGGATGTTTCCCAGTCCAGCTTTCATGAGAGCAGATGATTGGCATTTTAGGAGAAAGGGTGGGACATGTGTCAAACAACTGCCATCTCTGGTGTGACAGAATTCTCTTGTGTAACATCTCAGGCACTATCTATAACAAGTAGCATGATATTAACTGTCATATGAGGTGTGCTGCCACCTCTTGCTTTTGCACCTCTGCAACATTTCCAGTTGTGTAAAAAAAAAAGAAAAAAAAAAGGACCTTTTTCATATAAAAAGAAGCTGTCATTCGTGCCTTCATTACATGTGTTAGAATCCTGTAATGTGTTATATTCCTTTCAGCGAGTAGAGTAAGCTGTTTCTATACAGGAACTTTTGTAGATTGTGATACCCAGATAAGATATAACAAAAAACAGGTTGTCTGACTGATGTGGGTGAGATAGATGTTCTCTGGTCATTTAAATTTGGCTAATACCACTCGAGGACTGGTTGGGGAGAAGTAATGCGAGGGGTGGGAGGCATTCAAGTGTCATATTAGAGCCGTATCCAAACATAAACGCAACAACAAAGTGGCATAATACGTTAGAGTGCTTACAGATGTTAATATTGACTCTAATCAAGGCTGTGATAAAGTGGCAACATGCCCAGATTGTCGCAAACCACTTGCCCAGTGTCACATCGGACATGCTTCAGCCCCTCGTGGCCCTCTAAAGGATAAAGCAGGTAAAGCAAATGGATGGATGGGGGAACTGTCCAACCAGCCAAAAAATGAAAAAATGATTCAAAAGATTTTTCTGAAATATATCTTTAGTTATGAGCAAAACAGACGGCATGATGCCCCAACACCAAACCAAACACAAGTCTGGCATAGATTTGTTGATGTGGTGTCTGGCACACACAGTAACACACAAGCAGGTACACATCCACTGGCGTCTACTAATATATACTTATATAGCTTTAAAAGACTTTTATTGTATATTTTAAGTTATGCTTCATTTCCTACCCAAATTGCAGACTACCTTTGGCCTGGAAGTGAGTGTTTTGGCATGTAATTACTGGCGTAGCACATATCTGAATGCATTAATGTAGTGCTTTTACAGGGACTTGTCAAGAATAATGCAGAATGAAAACCGCATTGTACACAACACTCGCCCTGCGTGAGTCTGTTTGTGGGGAACAGCTGCCGGAGGATTTAAATGGGGAGTGAGTGGGGGGCAGCTGCTGGGATTCAACCATATGGACTGAAAACCACAACAATGAGCTGAAAGCTGCTGAAAGCTGCAAAGGGCTGCAGTTGGATGCGTTTTATCCCGTGGGAC